TTGTCTTCGTAAGTTGAGGACTGCCTGTAATGCCAAGAAATAATCTAGGTAAGTCACTGCAATTTCAATGAAGTCTTTGAAACTTTGCATGAGGGTTGGCTAGCCTTTTATCCTGGGATGAATGACGGGCATTATCCTCCTGACCGACTTACAGAAACGCTCTGGGAAGTAGAATTGCCCAGTCCTGCAAACAGAAAGTTGGATTTAGCTAGAATAGATCATAATTCCCTCCCCCAGGAGAGCAGGTTTCAATGGCTGAAGCTACAGTTTCTCTGGGATGGTCACTTGCATTCCTGGGTTTTGAAAAAATATCCCACACTTTCTGTTTTTACCTGCATGAGCTTGCTGATTTGCATCACTTTTAGCTTAACTGCAGCCTACTTAAATGGTAATTATAATAACGGATGGATGGATGGATTACATTTATGGATGGATGTACAAGGGCATACAAATTTAGTAAATTAATAAGACGGATGGATCATGTGCCATCAAGTCCTGGTTGACTCTTAGTAACCATATGGATGGATTTCCTCCATGACATCTGTCCTTAATGGTCTTCTAATATGTCTCCATCACCGTAACTGAATCCATCCACCTATTGCTGATCAGCCTCTTCTTTTCTTTCTTTCCCCTTTTCCAGCATTAGAGCCTTCTCCAGAGAGCTGGGTTGTCACGTAAGGGGTTTCAAAGTAGGAACATTTTGTACCTGGTGATTTGTGCCTTGCTTGAAAATTCTGGGTTGATTTGTTTGATGATCCATTGGTTTGCTTTCTTGGTTCTCCTTTGTTTTCTCAGGAGTCTTCTCCAACACCAAAGTTCAAAATAATAAAGTTTTCGTATCCAAGTCCAGTAATAACAAAAGATAAATGTAAATACTAAATCCCAGGAGGTAGGAATTAGAAGGGATCCTATAGTTCATCTAATTCCCTCCCCCCTCTGTGCCTCATTTTATTGTACAGCTTATATTATAGAATGTCATACAGAAACACACATAGTGAAAACACAGAAAAATCGTTCACACAATACTGTATCATACAAAATCAATACATTTACGTATGTATTGTTTTCTCATGGTTTGATCATGCTTCCTGGAAAAAAAAAGTCAATTTTAGTCTGTTTCTTATTCTTTTTATGAAGGTAAGTGAAGAAATCACTCAGCATATCTAGGCATTTTTCCACTGCAAATGACTATCTGCAATTTCTGGGTCCTCCTCACTTAATTCTTCTGCTTCATCAGTTGCTTTCAGCACTTTTCCTCTGGGTTGTACCTCAGTCAATACTGATTGGAAAATTGCTTCTGGGTCAGGGATAGGGTTGGGGTTTTGCATTTTAGCAATGACCCACTGCAGAAGCTGGGCTTGGTAGTGAATTTTGAATATTTTGATTATGCCTTGGTCAAGAGATTGAATATTTGATGTAGTGTTTGGAGGCAAAAATTTAAGTTTCATATTTTTAAGATGGTTCACCTGGGGATGGCTTAGGACAGTTGTCCACTACAAGGAGAATAGATTGTTTCTTCTTTTTCATTTTTCGATCAATACTCAAATAGGTCATCCATTCAGATTTGTTAGATTTCCAGGTGATGGGAAAATCTTTGGGCTGTAGGTCCTTGAATGAGTGGCTTTGCCGATTTATCAATCACCAAAAGTTTTAGCTTCTCTCCGGTCAAGCTAGCACATAGCAAAACTGAAACATTTTTTAGAAAGTTTTCCACTCTTAACATTTGTCACCCCTCATAACAAGGCTTCTGTCAGGCATCGCCTTGAAAAAGAGTCCACACTCAGCAACATTAAAGATGTCATCTTTACTGCCGAATCAAAGTCAAAAATATTGTATTCTTTGATATTCTTCTTGAAAAAATTCATTGCTACCAATTTCACTTTCTTGCTCTTGGTGCAGATTAGACTCAACTGGTCAGGTTGCAGAGAGCAAATGAATACCATGTTTCAAGGTCCAGGTGGTCAAGATACAACTTACAGAGGTGGTCAGTAAAGAGAGGTTGGTTTGTGTACATATAGTGTATATATGGTCTGTGAAAATTAGGACAACTTAGGGAGATGGTCAATGTAGGGAGATGGTCAACTATGATGGTTTTACTGTAGTTTTTTCCCCATGCCATCACTCTGCTGAACACTTAATTCCTACAGCACTGTCTCATTTCTCCTCTGTCTAATCTTCTAGTCTTTCTTATTATCTTCTCCTATTGGAGAATATTTATCCATTGTTGTTTGTAATTTATGATTAATGATTGTAACTGTGATTTATAACCTATGACCTATTACTTGCTGTTTATATGTACAATGTGAACTTCTGCACCGGAGACAAATTCCTTGTGTGTCCAATCACACTTGGCCAATAAAGAATTCTGTTCTATCCTGTTCTTAATAAACATAGCATGCAAAAACAAAGCTGGAATTTCAACCCTTCATGGATAGAAGGCACCAATTTTGCTGAGTGTGTCATGAGATAATTGCATTATTTTAATAAGGGAAATGCTGGACTTGCAAAGCTGATGTGTACAAGCAACCTCTACCATGACATGCATTTTTGTGGTTTTAATGATTATGGCATTAAAAATAACAAACACAATAATTTCTTCCCTTTTGTTCATCTAGATTATAATTTAATTATTAGATTTTTATCCCACCCTTAATTATTTTATAAATAACTCAAAGCAGCAAATATGCCTCACATTCCTTCTTCCTCCTATTTTCCCCAGAACAACACTTTGGGAGAAGGATTGAGCTGAGACAGAGTGACTGGCCCAAAATCACCCAGCCGGCTTTTGTGCCTAAGGCAGGATTAGAACCCACTTCTCCTGGTTTAAACACTTTCTAAAAGTACAGCTGAAAAGAATTTGAATTATAAAGCAGCACTAGACAAAACAGTTATTTGAACTTGTTAAAAAGCACCACCATAAGCCTCTTTGTACTCTCTTTCATTCCTTCTATCTATTCAGCAGTTTATTTGAGTCTTATATTCAATATGTAAGTTGGGCGTAGGTGTGTGTATACGGGGTGTATGTGTACGTACATTTGTGATATGTGTGTGTATCATCATTCGTCATCATTTTAGCCATTGTCTCTCCACTCCAGGATGAAGTGAAACGTCTTCAAAGAAAAAAGCACTTTTGGGACCACCATACCTGGATAACCGAGAATCTCCATAGATATTCAGCTTCATAAAATCAGCTCTTCAATAAGAATTCAGATGACGGATTCAGATCCTCAGTCGCATATTCTATGAATGTGTCTGAAGAGGTATTGATTTTATCCAGAACCTTTTTTAGTCTGCTCTTTAACCCAAAAGCTTTCAAGAGCACCTAGCAAGGACTATAATTGGACCTGCAATCTAAAAAAAAAATGACGAATAAGGAAAAACAAATAGAAACATGAGTGTCCATGGGGGTGGGGGCTAACCAAGATGGCCACAAGTATGCAATCAAAAACCCACTCCTTTTTTTTAATCTTCCTCACAAAACATCAAAAGTAAGCAAGACTTTGATCTCATGATTGTGGCCACCATCTTGCTTTTTGGACCACTCAGACACTCCCAAATCAGAAAGAAAGAGGGGAGAAGATAATAAGGTGCTTTTCCTTTTAATAACCATTCTGATATCTAGGAGAAATAGGTCAGATAGCCTGATGGACTGCTGTTTAGTGACAGAGGAGAAAGGAACCAAACGTATTTTGTTAACCAGCAGATCTTACTTTTATTTATTTTTCCATCTTCTGTGATTTCATAGATTTGTAATATGGGACACTTTTATAACAGGAGCTTTAACAAAAACAGATATTAATAGGAATGCTTCCATGCAATCCATTTGCCACATCAGAGCTTCCAAAGACAAAGACAACTTACAGCACTCATTCTCCAGAAATAGGATATTTATTCCCTATTGGCCTTTTCCCCTCCCCCCCCCCCAAATCTTAACCCCAAAGATTTGCTCCTTTTCAAACAAAAGAAGCTGTGTAATAACTTCATTTCCAAGCCAGGTCACGCTGAGCTGTGCATTCTTTACAAACCAGTGCAATGTTTTTATTGTCCTGTTCTCTGCTTCTGAAACCAAATCTACAGAACCAATATCAGGCAGATATAATGCTTCAATGATTCCTTACAAAGCTACCTGTTTGACTTTTGCTTATATTGTCAATTACTTTAATGTTGCGGAAATAGCAAAGGACCAAGAACAGTTTTGCAAATCTTCAAAATATGATTTCAGTGGTAAATAAGTTCATCAATCAAAACGGTAGAAGTATCATGAGCTGTCATTTTTTGGAGCTGATAGCATTATGTGTCTCAGGTTCCAGCTTTGTGCAACTAGAATTACCCATAAAACCACAGCAAACTTTTGTGATTTTAAATCTTTATTGCAAATACACAGAAGCGTTCAGACCGCTCATTTTCCTACAACATTTAAATAATCTCCAGTCCTTTTCTCTAGGTAAGTACAAGTTTCAGAAATAAAACCTTTGTCAGGGGGGAGGATGAGAGAAGTAAAAATAATTCAGTTAATTTTCTAGAGGGGAAATTCTATCAGCCTGTCTGAATTCCACGGCATTGAAATGAATAAGTAATAACATTAATAACATGACATAATAAGTTACTTATAAAGTAATAAAGGCAGTATTAAAATTGAATAAATTAATGAATGAAAAGGGTCTGATTAGGAACAATTTCATTTTTTTTTTCAAAATTGATTTCAAAGAGAAAAAACAGAAATGCATTAAATATTTGATTAAAGTCAAGGTTTATGGGGCTTAAAGATGGCTGAATCATGCTGATTTTATATGTTTATATACTTTTCAGTTCAGAATGCGGTAGCCCTGAAGACTATATCTTTAGTCAATACAATTTCACTTTAAGACCAACAGTCGGCAACCCATAAACCACACAAACTTGGAAGAAGCCCATAAAGATTGCCAATGTCAATGTGGGTTGTTGCTAAACCTCAGCAACAATCATTCGGCTTAGAGAAACTGAAATTTAGACTTCTGTTGGATCATAGAATATAACAACCTTGTTATTATTTGTTTTAATTCAAGAACTGAGGCTATGGTGACCGAAAGTGAAATAGAGAAGAATCCATTTACTGACAATATTACCCTCTTAGCCGAAAAGCTGAAACAAATCTCCTTGGATTGTCCTGGCCAGTTCAATATTCACTCGTTGAAGATCTCTTCTCAATTTGGTTGTCTCAGACAGCATTCTTTGACCAACTCTCACCAAGTAATCCATATCCAAAGTAAGTATTTCAAAGTACCCCCATCTTATGCACATCTGCCTCAAACTTTGGGTATATTTTTGTTCTCTGAATTTTATAATATAGCTGTAACTTAATAGAAAAACACCTAAGGGGCAGCATGTAGCTCATCTTGTTTGGGCTTGGAAGCTAAGCACAGAGTGATTTGGTTAGCACTTGAGTGGGAGACAGATGTGGAATACCAGGACGGTTAGACTAAAATGGAAAATCAAAATATTTCCTCTAGGAAAGCAGAGGCAGACCACCTCTGTACTATTTCCGGGAAAACCTGAAATCACCAAAAGTTAAGCACAACTTGAGGAGCACGTAATTTAAAAAAGAAAGTAAATAATAATTATACAATGTTGCAACACTTTTGAAAAATTGTGTATTGACAAGGCACTTTTAATTGGAACAAAGTGGGATAAAGTGTTTTTTTTTTGTTTTTTTGTTGTTGTTTTTTGTTTTTGTTTTTTTAAATAAATCTACACCAGTGTTTCCACATGTTGCAGCTTCTGAGGAAGAATGTTAGGCTAGTAAGCAGTGGAGGCCTAGAGAAATGGAGAAGGACTCAAGGCCCTCCTTTATCTACTTGTTCCCTCTAAACATGGGGGCATGCCAGAATCCTCTTTCTGAAAAGTCTCAAATTGGGGAAAACCCTCAGACTCAACTTTACAAATATATGCTTGCAATTCACAATTGGGGGAGAAATTAGAAAAGGTGGAGAGAGGATGGTACAGGAGGGGCTGTTTTAAGGATAGCAAAATTTAAATAATCATTTTTTGTTTTTTTATTCTTCACCAATGCTTCTATCTGTACCACCATAGAGAATACCTCAAGTAGTCCTTGAAAATTGAAGCTCTGTGCCAAACAATGGACTGCAGATTTTTCTAGAATCGATCATGCATGATTCTGAACGTCACCACAATAACAACAAAAAAAATCAGAAGTTTGGTGGCACCTTTTCTAATTAAAAAAAATTATGAAAAGACATAAGCTTTTGGTAGTCGCAGTTCCATGCCTTTTCATAAAATTTGCTAGGAGGAAAGAGTGCTATCATACTTTTGATTTTTTGCCATTATACACCAACACAGCTCTCCTCTGACACAAGGAAGCTAGATTTCCCGGACACATTAAGAGAATTTTATCTATCTTGACATGTAACCTGCCTCTGGATAACCAAACAATTTTTATGAAAGCTTATGCCTTTTCATAACATTTGTTAGATGAAAAGTGTATTACCAGATTCTTTCTGTAAAATCTCAAAGCAAATCTGGAGGGTTACAGAATTTGAAACGGATTCAAGGGTTACAGAATTTGAAACAGAGAAGGTTATGCATACAATAAATGTTGAAAGGATTATCTGGATCTTATTGGATTTGTTTCAAAAGTAAATTCAGGTCTTTTGTCCCAAGTTGTTGAGCTGCAACTTGTGTTAGCCTCAACTAACAACAAGCATCTTTCTCTCATGAATTAAACAAACAACGCACAAATGCAGGGCAAGAATTTCTGTGTCACACCTAACTATAGCTTTGCTTACAGTCACTATTTGTCAGTAATTCTTTCTCTTATATCTTTAACCATTTCCCTCTTTCTTCTCCTCCCTTCTTTCCCCTATACTGATTGGTATACATATAAGATTATCAGATGAAGCAACCTATAATCCCTGGAATTTTATGCAATTTTAAATCCACAACACTCTTTGACATTTTGTTTAGAGACATATTTTTTATTTTGCAGGTTTGAATTATGCTCCTGAACGGTCAGAGAAGACAATGATAAAAATTCAGATGCCTGGAATCCAAATGCCAATTGGTGATCCACTGCCTATTCCAATCCCCAAGCTTTCAATAGGTTAGTATGGAAACATTTATGCTGTATTTAGGGATGGGGTATAATCTGACTACCACCCCCAATAATGGGCAATCCAACACATCTAGAATAACACAGTAATCAGGGTGCTCTGATTGGGACTGGCTTATGTGGATCTGGGATCCAGCTTCTGCTTAAGCACTGGCTTGGACTAGGAGACCTTGAAGGGGGGTCTATGACAATTCGCCATGGCCAACTCGACACAGCCAACTCGCTGTGGGATAACTTGCCATGGCCAACTTTCACGGGAGAATTCGCTATGGGACAAGAGTTACACTAATATCAAAGAAATAGTGGGACAGAATCATTTTTTTAAAAAGGATGCAAAAGAAGGGACAATATGAAATGTGAATGACAAAAATTAAAATATTTTTTCATTTATTTTAAATAGTTAAACTGAAATGTTAAATTGTCCCATGGTGAGTTGACTGTGACAAGTTGTCCTGCAGCAAGGTGGCCATGGTGAAATGGCCATGGTGAGTAGGCCGTAGTGAGTTGGCTGCGGCAAGTTGTCCCATTCCAACTCAGTTATTCTGTTATTTTTCAAACCACTCCCATTATTTCTTCACTAAAAAATGTAAATTAGAAATAATAGTTGACAACTGCTAAGGATTGTATTCTGTGCCACCACAACTCCTTTCTGCTCCTTTCCTCTCTCTACCCAGTTATATCACTATATAGTGGTTTGCAGGAATCTCTGTCAGCTGTCTACACTATAAATACATTAGGAATGTAATTAAAACAGATTTGTTAAAACAAAATTTGGCAAAGTAACAAACAACATGCCATATGTGATCCACAACACCTGTTTTGCAGTCTCAAGATCGTATCACCTACATGCAGAGGCAAATTGCCACATTTTGCCAACATAATTCCTCTATTTTGTTTTGTTGGTTTGTTTTTCTTTATCATTCAAGAATTTTTAAATCATTCTAGGCCCCCATCCCAAGACTGAACTACTAACCATTTCTCCTGTGGCCTTTGAACTTGACCAGTTAATTTATCTTCCAAATTGCTCAGATAGGAGAATATTGCCCGTTCACGTGCTAAATAGGCAACATACCTGTCATGTGTTGAAAGCTAACAGCCTTTATGACAGATTTACATATTTCAGATATGTTTCATGTATTTGAATCAATGTAAGAACAGTAGTAAAACCTTTAATTTTTATTGTCTATCCAATCATCCAACTGTTCAGCACTTGATTGAGATGCATAGGTCTAATTTCTAGATGGGTCTCATCTATCTAGAGATTCAGTGGAGTATATTATTTGAAGTGCTAGATTGGAGTGGAGAAGCCCAGATTCTTATTCTCCCTTAGGCAAGGAAGCTCATGGATTGGCTTTGGGTCAAGCACTCTCTCTTAGTCCCAAATCAGCATTAAGCTCTGCAAAAAGCCAAGCTGGGGAAAACAACAACATTGCCTCACCATGCATTTAAGACTGTCAACTAAGCAAGCCTATGCAAAAAGAGTGGACCTTATAACAAAGGACACAACAGTAGATTGTGTGTGTGTGTGTGTGTGTGTGCACGTGCGCGCGTATCCTAAGAAGTCAGTTATGTTGGAAAAGGTGGAAAGAAGAAGAAGAAGACAAGCAGCAACAAGATGGATGACTGGACTACATCTATATTGGAAGGCCTGAGGGACAAGGTTAGGGACCGATCCTTCTCCAAGAGTGCAGTATATGTTATTGACTTGATGACACATAAAGAATCAACTGTCTGTGTGCGTGTGTTTCATTCATTCCAGGAGACTGCTTCTTGTAAATTCACCAGTCTATAAGAATTTCAATTATAATTCTGGCTCTCCCTTAGAAGACTATATCTTAAGTAATGCACGTTTGCAACTAACATAGATGATGATGATGATGATGATGATGATTGATGATGATATCCATTCAGTCGTGTCTGACTCTTGACAATTCTCTGGGCCAGGTCTCTCCATGTCTTCTGATCTTGCACTAGTTCTTTGAGTTTTTCTATGCTCTGGCTGGTGTCAGCTTTGATGGTGTCCAACCACCGTGTTCTTGGGCAACCTGGTTTCCTTTTAGCGCTAACTCTTCCAAGCATAATTGCTTTCTCCAGTAAGTTCCCCCGCATGACATGGCTAAAATCAGTGAGATACAGTTTTCTGATTATATTTCCCAATTTTAAATGAATTATGGGTCATTCCATGTCAAGTGGTCTGATTTCAAAAAAGTGCCCTGTTCGACCATCACGGATTTTGATGAAATTTTGTGTGAACATGCACACATGTCCCCAATGAATATTGGTAAAGTGTTACGTTTGCCGATGCAATACTTGCGGAGATATAGTCATTTGTTTGACCCCACACTGCAGCCTTCTACAGTATGACTCTGAGATTCCAGCAACTTTGAGACATAATATCTCCGGCAATATTTTGTTGAGAGAAACAAAACCTGGCCATCTTGTACAACTTTTTGTGCTCTATAAAACAAAATAATAAACACATTCTCATGAGCAATCTCCATCTAGATAATTTGGAGCAAAGTTGGCCAAAAATATTGTGGCTCAAAAAAAAGTTTAAAGTTTGGCTTTTTATATCTCTGGAAGGAAAGGTATGATAAACATGAAACTTTGCATGTAATAACTTAGCAACACAAGCTTTTTAAATATAAAATTTCATTCTCCTACTGCTTTACAATAGTTTACAAATTGAGCATAAATTTGATGTTTTTTGTAAAAACACCAAAATAGGGTATTTTCAGTCTGCTTTTACAAAAAAAGACCTTCTGGAGACTCTGTTAAATCATTCTCATTAGAAAGAGAATATTTCAACCCCCCTAAAAAAGTAGGGTTGGTTTTTCATTGCTGACGTATAAAGCCCTAAAAATAGGGACAAAGTTGAGGAAATTGCTATGGCAACTTCACATGTATTCTATTATTTTTTTGTCTTGTTTGTTTTATATAAACATCATTACTATTATTATATTGCGTTGGTCCACGGTAACATTGTCACTACCAGTTCAGGCACTTGAACCAGCAACCCCATCGCCATAGGGGGCACGCCCAATAGCCGTGCAACACCAGCCACGGGTGGGTTTCTTGGTTCAGGATCCCAAGCCTGCAGTTTGGAAAGCATATTTTCGGCCAACTTTGCTCCAGATTTCATCAAAATCCATGATGGTCGAGCAGGGACCCCCAGACCATTTGACATGGAATGACCCTTATGGAAAACAGTTAATTCTATAGATCAACAGCCCCCAACCATTTGGGCACCGCGGACCAATTCTGTAAGGAGCGTTTTTTCCGTGGACCAGGGGACCGTGGTTTCATGCAGTGCCTGCAACCTGCACATGCACGGATGGGGCTTCACTTGTTTGTGCAACCCAATTTCTGACAGGCTGTGGACCCGTGCCAGTCAGTGGACCAGGGTTGGGGACCCCTGCTATAGGTGACTAATATAATATTCGAGAGTCTTTTTTCTAAAGACCCCAGAAGATGTTTGCCAAAAGATTTCTTTTGTACTTCTGATGTTTATCCATTACTGATTACTCATTCTTTCTTTGCTTCTCACAAGGTCCTTTGTCAGACATATCAAGAGAAAAATGCAAGCAGTCTGCCATAAGATCTAAAGGTGCTACTATTGAGTCAGAGAAGAAAGAAGCAGTAAGTTTCATTAAATGTAATTTAATGTCATTAAATGTCATTAAAAACTCCACTTTACTAAGGAGTGGCATCAACCTCTGAGTGTGAGGGAAGGAAACCAATTCAGTGAGAAGTAACTATACTGAAGCTTGAACTATTTGTACAGGAGATAGTTTCAGGGTATACTAATTGTGTCAATTGCCTGCCTCCAGATATTTTGCAATTACAATGCTTAGACTTTTTTTGTTAGCTATCAACCTTGAAAATTATAGTTCATACAACTCTGGAGGGCACCAAGTTTGGAGGGTTAGAAGGTTGGTATAATATATTATTAGCTGAAGCCAGTGCGTCTTAAGCTGCTAGGTGTGCAACTACAAATAGCTCCAAAATTCAAAGATTAGAGTCTTCAAAACAAGTTCTTGAATTTTGCTTGTATGAGGATAAGGTTGCTAATGAAAGTGAGGACAGTGTGTTAAAGCAAAGAAAGATAAATTAAGCGATTTCCAGTCTTCTAGCCATCTAACTTCCTGGTAAAGCTGAAATTATTCTTAGTGAAAGAATTAAATTAGAGTGTAGTAGCAGCTTTTCTAACTAATGAATTCTGTTAGAAGTCTTTTGTTAGCTACGGCTCACTTCACCAAATGCATATGAATGGTTAAATCAATGTAGGATTTAAAGGAAGGGGGTGATGTACAGAGTGGAAAAGGGGTGTGTGTGCAGGTGCAGGTTATGCATGAAGCAAATGACAGGTCAATATGATTGTAATGAGTTAAAAACCTATTGTGTTGGTTAAGACTTTCTGAATAGCCTGGAACATTTTGAATATGTGAATTAGGCAGTTTCTCACTCTAATATTGGTATAGTTCTATTGTGTAAAATGGGCATCTGTTATGAAATCTCCTGGGAAGGTAAAATGTTTTGATTTTAATCTTTTTTTGCTTCTGATGTCAAATATATCGATTAATTCTTTTGTGAAAAGTTTGTCCCATTTTTCATAGAATTGGGGGGGGGCATACTGGCAGATCATGGCATGTATCCCATTGGAGGAGCAGCACGTGAAGGTCTTTTCTACACTGCTTAATGCTACACAAATAACTTTCTCATCAAGGCCAGGTTCATTTGTCTCTTTATTTCTAACATGTTAAGAGTACTTTCACCAAACTTTAATTTTTCAAAAACTACTGTTCCCTTTAACTGTTTTAAGAGATTCAATTCTTCTTAACTTTTTTGCTGAAAATTTAGATTTTTTTTCTTTTTCCAGAAACAATGCTAACTCACTGAGTGTATTTTTTTTTATTTTGTTGCTCAGAAAATCTCTCTATAGCTGTAAAATATTTACATCTGATAGTGATTAAGAAAGTGAGGCTTTTGCAAATCTTACCGCCATATAAGCTGTATTACAGCTGTCAGCTTGTTTGAAATCCTTCAATCCCTAACTTTATGACTCCTGCAGTCTTTTCATGATGAGTAGCTGCTTGAAGTGCAGATGGGCAATCCCACTATCTCTCTTTGTCTGGAGAGACTGTGTAAACCAGAATTCACAACTAGGCTATCAAAATTACTTTGCAATGCCATTTCTGCTCCTTCAGGGATATCTAATCTAGTACATGAGGGGCAAGATAAGAAGTAACAGATGTAAGCTTACAAAGAGAGACCAAACCTAGAATTAAGGAGAAATTTCTTGTCAGTGAGAACAATTAATCAATGGAATGCTTTGCCTCCAGAGGTTGTGGGTGCTCCATCACTGGAAGTTTCTAAGAAGAGATTGGAGAGCTATTTGTCCAAAATGGTACAGGGTCTCCTGCTTGAGCAGGTGGTGGATTAGGAGACCTCCAAGGTTCCTTTCAATTCTGTATTCTGTACTCAAAAGCCAGTCCAAAAATCTCTTATATTTTTGAATTTATATTTTGAAACTATATTTATATTTTGAAACCATACCAGATATAAGAATGTTGGATCAGAAAAAGGATTACATAGTTGGGCACAATAGTTAATATTTTAATGATTAATATGGACATGTTATTGACAATATATTAGTGGACAGAAGAGTTTGAAATAACGGTTAGGTTGAGAGTAAGAGTGAAAAAACTGGAAAGAATTTGTTACATCAAAAGAGGAAATTATGTGCCAAAATTAATTGTCAAATATGTGGAGAACCTGTTACAGCCAGCTCAATTCACCTCTGTCTTATAAATTGCAAATATCTACTAGCAACCAAAGCTTTCTCTTGAAGACTAATCAGTTGAGGAAACTGTGGACATTTTCTCATCAATTGTCCATCACCAGTAGATGGCTCACAAACCTCCTTTATACATAAAGAACAACAACCCAAAAAGCCATTGTAGATGTATTGGCATGAAGGGGAAAATCCAACATTTCTGGAAGCTATATCTTTAGTAAGCCAATTGAGGATTTTGTAATGTTGACCTACTGTACAAAGTTGCAACACTTAACTTATATTAAATCCATGCTGATTACTGCAATGCTGATATTTACACAGCCAGATTTTTCTGCAAACAGCCCTATGGGAGCATGTTTTTTCAAAAGAGCACAAAATTTCATAGTTGTGCCAGTGATGATAGAACAACAGTGGTGACAGAGAATGCAGAAATCTTTCTCAGCATGAATCCTGGGTGGGAATTATGAGATTTATAGGTCAACGTATCTGGAGATGGCTGGAATGAAATCCATGAAATGCTAAAAAAACTCATACAGTACTGTATTATTTTGTTCTTCTGTTTCTATTTTATGTTCTTTCTGTTGTCATGTTACCACTCACTGGATCTGAAGGCAGAAAAATCTTGGAGAGAAACACAGATCTTGGAAGAAACTGGACATCTCAATCTTCCTGCCTCCCAATTATTCCATTGTATGTTCAGAAACATTGCTAAAAATGAAGGCAGAGATGCTACCTTCTCTTTCCAGAATCGACTAATCTCAAGCAAAGCATAAGCACAAGAGTAGCCACCTTTTATTGCCCTGCTAACTTACAAGCCACCATCTATGATGTAGGTTTAGCATTCTTTCGTGTGCAGAAGATCTGAAAAAGCCAGATTATGTAGCTGGAGTGTAAGAAATTAAGCTAGATATACTAAAAAATTAGATCAGATACATAAAATCTATTAGGCATTACTGAGAAGTAAGATGTGCTGTGTAAGCAATAAAAAGTAATATTGCAATCAAATACTTTGTGGCTCTTTTATTTCAAACAAAACGTATTTGCTTCATCTGGCAGTTTGGTGCCATCCAAATTTATGGATCTACAGGTCCCAAAATTGCTCTAGCCTCAATGGCTGGGAATTTTGGAAGTTGTCCTCTTAATGCAATCGAGAGTGTCAAATTGAGAATTACTGGAATAATAAATTGTTCAGTTTCATACATTTTGAGGGAGAGGAGTTATCAAACATTAATAAAGCATATTAAATACTTAATAAGAGATGTTGCCACAGTGAATTCTGGTGATGAGAATTGTTGGGCGGATGTCTACAGGAGAATGTCCAAAATGTCAAGATGGCAACTGCAATCTTGACTTTTCAATCTTGACGCATAATAGAAGCCCTACCCCCTTTTTTTAATCTGAATTGCATCGCTATCTTGAGTTTTTTGGCTTGCAGACACCTATGACTGCTGCTCAACAAAAGTTCTGAAACAGTTGAGAAAACTTAAAGAAAAACATGATTATACCTCAGAGGGGAGATTGAGAAAAAACTAAGGGTTCCTCACTTGAATATCTTCCATTGGAATGAAATTAAATGTGGATATCATACAATGTTCAACCATTTCTGACTGGTGGACAATCCAGAATTTTGAGATCATCAGATGGGCATCTCTCAAAAAATGCCTGTCCATAGATTGGGTCTTCTATTCATAAAACCTCTGTAGTGGGAAACTTAGCTTCTCGCTCTTCTTCCTCGCCTTTATCTATGGTCTCTTTATCATTCTGGCTGCCCTTATCTCCTCACCCCAGTTGAATGGGCAGACTTCCAAAGAAAATGTTGGAATGCATCCATCCCTCATTTTCATTTTCTGTGAAAAGTGAACGTGTCCCTTTCAGGGTCCAGAAGTATTACTGGATCTAAAAATGATTCTGGAAATGGGATGTCATCTCTGAACGAGTACAGGTCGTCCTCGACTTACAAACATTCCTTTAGTGACTATTTGAAGTTACAATGGCACTCAAAAAAGTGACTTATGACCATTTTTCACACTTGCGACCATTGCAGTCATATGATCAAAATTCAGAGCCTTGACAACTGTCTCATATTTATGATGGATGCAGTGTCCCAGGGTCATATGATCACCTTTTGCGACCTTCTGACTTGCAGAGTCAATGGGGAAGCCAGATTCAATTAACAACCGTGTTACTAACTTAACAACTTAAGTGGTTCACTTAACAACTGTAGCAAGATAAAATGGGGCAAAACTCACTTAACAAGTGTCTCACTTAGCAACAGAAAATTTGGGCTCAATTGTGGTCGTACGTGAAGGACTGCCTGTAGTTACCATTCCCATCTTAATTTTTTTTCTTTACTTCAACCTTTCAGTTCTTTCAGATGCTACAGGTTACTTCCATAGTAGTTTATAGCAGCTTTATGTCCTCTTTTTTGCATCATTTAGTTATTCCAACATCTTATTTTATATTTTAAGAAAAGGAACATGGAAAGGAAAGATTCACAGATTCTTTGGCAGGCACCCCGGGGCACCTAACAGTACATCAGCCCAATCAGAGTTTATGAAACTTCCTAATTTAACTGTCTGTCTGATGTGGAAAGATTCCATTCAATAAAGTACAGCCAAATTATAATTTGGGCAAAGTCCTTCATAGTGTAACAGGGACTCAAATGAAATGGAACCCTATGTGTATTTAGCTTCCTAGTTATCTACTGTGAAGGTCATTGTGACCTGCTATTCTGCCCTTTCCACCATCCACTTCTTTCAGCCTTTTTTGAATCTGCTTATTAAAAGTTACAGACCCATTTCATGGCTGTAATTCAGCAGGGGCTACTCACCCCTAGAGAAAGAGTTGAACAGAATTTTCATTCTGATTGGAATTTCTTATCATTCCTATTATGCAATTATGTAATTTCACACCAGTTCTCACTGAGACACCTAGGAAATCCAACGCATAGAATGCAAATTTGGGAAACGACACTGTAATGTATTTTCACATTTTCCATGCCTGCAAACCCAGGCTTGTAACCTTCGTTATTCTTGACAAGGAGCTATCATCAGTCCTAGTTTTCTGATCTACTTTCCAAATCACTCAATCCATCCAAATCCTATGTAATTTCTACACTACAGGTTGTCCTCAATTCACAACCACAGTTGAGCCCAAAATTTCTATTGCTAAGTAAAATAGTTGTTTTGCCCCATTTTACAACTTTTCTTCCCACAGTTGTTAAGTAAATTTCTGCAGTTATTAATTTAGTAACATAGTTGTTAAGTCAATCTGGCTTCTCCATTGACCTTGTTTATCAGAAGATCACAAAAGGTGAACACAGGACACTGCAACCATCATAAATATGAGTCAGTGGCCAAGCCTCTGAACTTTGATCACAGGAGCAAAGGGATGCTGCAACAGTTGTAAGTGTGAAAAATGGTCATTAGTCACTTTTTTCAGTGCCATTGCAATTTGCCTATCATGCAAATAGATCAGCAGATGATGCTGTTAATATGGCTCTGCACTACATTCTACAACATCTTGAATCTCCAAAGACCTATGCAAGGGTCCTTTTTGTAGATTTCAGTTCAGCATTCAATACCATCATTCCAGATATTCTTCTCACTAAAGTAAATCAACAGGCCGTGCCTGATCACACCTGTGAGTGATCTCTAACAGACAGGAAGCAGCAAGTGAAACTAGGCAAAATCACATCAGATATCTGCAGGGCTTTTTTTCGCATAGAACACCCAGAACGGAGTTCCGGCACCTTTTTGGGATGGAACTTTGTAGAGTAGGCAAGGCGGATTGTATGACATGTGTGAGTTCCGGCACCTTTTTTTTTTAAAGAAAAAAAAACACCGGATACCTGTACAATTAGCACAGGGGCTGTGTACTCTCTCCATTTCTCTCTATATGCCAATGACTGCATCTCAAAAGATTCCTCTGTTAAAGTGTTGAAGTTTGCAGATGATATAACAGTGATTGGCCTCATTCGAGACAATAACAAATCGGCATACAGACAGGAATGTATATGTCATCTTACCCTGCTTTTTGTGTGTTGTAGAAACAAGGTTTGTAGAGAATGCCAGTGAAGGGAAGATGTACTGAATTTCACCCAGACAGATTTGTAAGATACTGTAAGAAAAGTCTTGGAGTCTGAGAAATAAGAAAGTATTTCAAAATATGACGGACATCACGTGGTGATTTCAATTTTATTTGGTCAAAGAGCTGTTAGTCCTTCATTATGCAAATTGGGAGTAGGGGAAGTTCAAACAATCTTCCCAGAATGCACCTTAATGAATTATTAAATGTATTTATCCAATTTATTGGCTGCCCATTTTACCACAGAATAACTCTGGGAGTCTTAACAATATTAATGGGGATTTCCTTATTCAGATTCCAAGATTCCTAAACCTTTCAAGGATCTTCTATAATTTATAGAAATAGATAAATTGAAAGGCAGACTGCTTAATATTTGTGTTTGTGTGCTAACCTGTTTATTTCTTTCCTGAACGTGCTAATTAAACTATTGTATCTTGTATTACTGCTCTGAAGAAGTTAAGAAATTCTGTATACATTAAACATTTTTGCATATACTCAGGTTGTGCATGGCAAGATATGCTTTGTTAAGATTATGATCTATAACCTTAACTTGAACAGTGCCCCATCTCTTCTTTTATGAAGATATTGTGCAAAAATTGAGCAGTTTGTAACGGACTTCCAGCACCTTGTAATCTGTCTGGAGCAATAGATCTGCATTTTGATTTTTCTTTGCAGCACTGATTATTTTGCATTTTAAAGAAGTTTCTTCTTCAATAAAAACAACAGTTGTCAAAATGATTCAATTGAACATCTCTACAGATTATGCTGTGCCACTAATGAAAAATATATCATTGATAAAAAGAAGTTGAAAATGAGCAGGTTAAAAATATTGCAGGATTTCCAAATTGATAAAATTTTATCTGCCAATTGGAAAAGCCCTACTGCTTGGATCCAGACATATATTACGTCAACAGATTATGAGATCCTAGGTTTTTGGGAGAGGTTGATGCATATAAATGCCAACCCCAGCTAAAGAACTGGCAGCTGTGACTTCACATTGTCATGAGATGATGATGATGATAAGAAGAAGAAGAAGAAAGAAAGAAAGAAAGAAAGAAAGAAAGAAAGAAAGAAAGAAAGAAAAAGAAGAAAAGGACAACAACAACAACAACAACAATGGATTATAGAAATTTCATGTTTACTTTTTCATTCTCTGGTAATAAAACATTTTTTGTGGTCCTCTTATTTCAGTGGCCTCCCCATTTCCTTGGAGAGCATGTTTTCCATGGACCGGGAAGGGCATGGTTTCACACACTGCCTGCATCCTGTGCATGTGCAGATGGGGCTTCACTAACTTGTGTGGCCAGTTCCTGGCAGGCTGGGATTGGTGGCAGTTCATGAACTGGTAGTTGAGGATACTTGTCTTATCTCATATATGAGGATTAGGTTAGGATACTCTCCTGGATAATAGGAAGCACCACCAGTAACTACAAAGCAGCTACATCAGAACAAGAGGTAATGCCAGGTTGGGTAGACACAATAGACATCCATGAGATTGGATTTGAAACCTCCAACATTTTCCTTGCAAGCTCTGCTATGCAATAAGATTTACACTTTGGAAACTATAGCTTGCTTAGCTGCCAGAAGATTAAATACATATCGGAATGTATTCGGCTTTCAGCTTGTGCTCTGATCTCTGATCCGTTAGTCTTCTTTAATCTGGGCCATCCACAAGTATAAATTATAATTTCCCTTATCTCCTATCAGAAGTAGCTGGTTGGAAATAATAGGAACTGTAGGAACAATTAACCCAGCATGAGAAAGTATGAATGTAACCTTATCTTTGTGGTCAGTTGGATCTTTTGACATAAAAGCTGAGAGATGTTTTTTGACCTATCTGATTGCCTGTTAAAAAATGAAAGTTTTGCCAAATATTTCTCAGTTTGCATGATATGAGCTCTAATTAAGTGACTTTATTC